AAATGGAAAAGATACACAATACTTTTCATGTCTCAATGCTTAGGAAATATAGATCTGATCCATCTCACATTGTGACTCCTGAAGAAATTGAAGTCCGACCAGATTTAACTTATGAGGAAGAACCTGTTCAAATATTAGCTCACGAAGTTAAACAACTAAGGAACAAGACTATTCCATTGGTTAAGGTCTTGTGGAGGAATCACAAAGTAGAGGAAGCAACATGGGAACGTGAAGAGGACATGAGGATTAAGTACCCCTACCTCTTTGCATAATGAAAATTCGAGGACGAATTTTCTTAAGGGGGGAGTTGTAACATCCTCAATACCAGGTTAGTGACTAAATTGGAAAGTTTCAGATTTTGGTGATTAAAATAGAATGAATGAATAGTATAAAGATTTATATGTAAATGATTGTGTAGGATTGAATTGAAAGGAAGAAGGAATGGAAGGGCAAAAGAGCCATTTGCAAGGAAAATTAATTAAAGAATGGATAAGGATATATATGAGTACAAGTGGGATGAAAAGAAGAGAACACCAAAGCCTTCCAGAGTTATCTTCTTCTTCTTTCTTCCTTGTACGTGTGAACCAAAGCAAAGGTAAGATTTCTGATTATTGAGTTTCTTGTTAAATTTAATATTGGGTTTTGATTATTAGATGATAACTAAGCTTAAGGAAAACTTAAGTTATCTTAACATCAATGGATGATTGAGTTAGGAGAGATTTAAGATTTGACGTTCTTAAATGAAATCTTGGAATAGAGTTCATAACTAGAATTGAAAGTTATATTTGACTTGTCATCAATCTAGTTAAGATATACGAAGTGTTAAAAACAGAATTCAAACATGTTGATTTATTAATGTAATTCTTGAATTACATATGAAGGATAGGATTTGAAGGTTTAAGATGAAATAAATGAGTATAAATTGGTTTAAGGATGTGTACTAGAGTTAAGAATGAAAAAAGGGATTAAACATGAAGGATTTAATCCAAATGAATGAACGTTCGGGTTCAAAAAGAGGATTCTGGGCAGAGTGCACCGATGCACATTCATGGTGCATCGATGCATCAAGGTTAAAACCCAGAAATTGTATGAATGTGCATCGATGCATTGGTAGTGCATCGATGCACTCTTTTAAAATAAAAACATCGAATGCAATTGGTGCATCGATGCATAAGGAGTGCATCGATGCATCACAGCAATAATACTACATCGAATACCTTTTATGCACCGATGCATCAGTAGTGCATCGATGCATACCTTCATTAAAAGATGAAATTGACTTTTCTCTTAGTCTAAAGAGTTAATCATTAGAGTATATTAGTTATAATACTGATATAGATCCATCTGCGATTATGTAGATATTAAAAGTAAGCTTATTCCGGAACGATCAAAGGATTAGAATCGAATCAAATCAAAGCTAAGGTGAGTGCATACTATATGTATATTATAATGGAATAAGACTTGTGATAAGTCTAATCCCTATGTTGATTTTTATAATACAGTAGTTGTGAACATGCATACATGATAATTATTGTGATACATGCATAAGATATATATATGTTCATGTGAGATGATATGTGATATGACCTGTGATATGAGAACATGATATGAAGTGATATGAGATACATGATCACAAGAGAAATGATATGAGTACATGAACATATGAAATATAAGAATAATGCCCATAGTATACGATATGAGAATTACAGGTGTAATTGGCATGCCAAGAGTCGAGGGTATAATAGTCCTTCGGGACGTAGTCCTTCGAGATGTAGGAGTCCTACGGGACGAATACTGAACTAAGGTTTGGTGCCCCATGAGGGAATAGATACGAGCTGTGGTGACAGCATTAGTGCACAACCTCAATGCACTCACATACCTCTAATCTCAATAATATACATGGGCTATGCAATTGAAATACCGATTTACAGTGAAAGTGATACAAGAAGGTAAGTTTCGTATGTGCATTATATGTTATCGTGCGATAGATACATGCATATTGAAATGTCATGATCCAATTGTAAGTATAAACATTCATAAGTTTATTGTTGCATATTCATTTATTGCCTCACTAAGTCTATGACTTAGCGTGTAAGTGATTTACACGTAGGTACCAAGAATCAGGAAAAGTGGAAATAGAAGTAGCACGGACAGCAATACTACTAAGAGATCATATCAGAAGTAATTGACAAAGTATGTACTTGGTTATGTATAGAGTGTTGGCATGTAATAAGTGTTAATTACGAATACTCTGATCGATTTTGTATTTTATGGTCTTATGTAAATTAAAGTATTTCGTTTTAATGAAAGTTTTAAAAATCCCCGGGATTTTCTATAAGAGTCAAGGTTTTGAAAAGTCAATGTGATACCTCAGACTTGTATTCGGGTCGGATATGAGTTAAGGGTGTTAATATGGCATAAACGACTTGTGCACATCAGTGAGAAGGGTCTTCACATACTCGCTCGGAAACAACTCCTACCTAACGTGAAAGGTAAATCACTTGATCCTTGTGCTCACTATTTAGCTGGAAAACAACACAGTGTTACTTTCCAAAGATCCTTCTCCGCCCACAAGGAGAAAAAACATCCTAGACATCGTATACACTGACATGTGTTCAATGTCAAAGAAATCAATAGGTGGTGCATTGTACTTTGTCACCTTCATTGATGACCATTCAAGAAAGGTGTGGGTGCACCTGTTAAAATTAAAGGATCAAGCGCTTGACGCATTCAAAGAATTCCATGCTCTAGTGGAGCATGAGACCGGACAGAAGATCAAGTGTGTAAGATCTGATAATGGAGGTGAGTATAGAGGTCCTTTTGAAGCATATTGCAAGAAATATGGCATTAGACTATAGAGGACTCCACCCAAGACACCACAATTGAATGGACTAGCTGAGAGAATGAATAAAACTATTGAAGAAAGAGTTCAATGTGTGCTTTCACATGCTAAGTTACCCAAATCATTTTGGGGTAAAGCTATAATCTCAGTGGTTGACATTGTCAACCTCGCACCATCAATTCCCTTGAATAGTGCATCCCAGAAGAAGTTTGGACGGGAAAAAGGGCTTCATACAATCATCTCAAGGTATTCGAGTGCAGGGTATTTGTTCACATATCCAAGAAATCCAAACTAGAGAAACTAGAGAGTTAGAGAGCCTCTTTGAGAGAGAATAGATATAGCTTTGGAAGTCTTTATCCTCAAGCTTATGTGAGCCACCAAGTGTGAGTCAAATCTTGTAAACACATCCTTGTAATCCTACTATTATTTTGTATAGTAGAAGAATCTCCAAATTGGAGAATTATACTATTGTGCTCTCTTTACTATCCTTAATCTCTAAGTGTCTATCTTAACTTCACGAAGTGGGAAAAACCGTGATTCCCAACACTTTTACATATGAATCATGTTGAGAATTCTTTTAATATCATTAGAATTTGGCTAGCGATTATTAGGATTAGTTTAAATTGGTTTCAGTTCATTTTGCAGTTATTTTTGGAATTGTAATTATGTGTTTAAGTATTGATACTAATAAGGGTCAGTTTGATAATATTTCTGATAATGAAAAAAATGATTTTTCAACTCGTAAGTAATGTTAAACATCGAAAAATGGATTTGAAATCATGGTTGAGAAATTTAACCTAACTTCAAAAGCTTAAATTTCTAACTTTTATTGTGAAAATTTGTTTTTTGAATGAAATTGTATTTTTATACTTAGTTATTTCCTTTTAATTTATGACATAATATCCGAAATAAACATTACATATGCCATTAACCTCACCTGTCAGTCATGAACACAAGTGAAAGTACATCCACCAAATACATTATATCAACCTCATCATAAGGTCAATGTACATATGCCATGAACCTCACCTGTTAGCCATTCCAGTGTTACTATTTACTTACCATATATTATAATATTTATTCTCTTACTATCATAATGTAAGCACTTTGCATGAATCTTTGAAGGTTTTTGTATACTTAATATGAAATCGTCACTCATGGATGTATAGTTAAGATTTATTTTGACAAAAAAGATTTAGACACTTAAAATTAACGAGAGATATAGTTTAAATAATTTTTAATTAAATTTAATTTTAATTAAACTAAACTAAAGACACTCAAATATTAAAATATTATCAGTCAAGAAACTAATTATTAACAGTTCATGAAATTGCTGATATGGACTTAAAAACTTTATATAATTATACATTTAATCTTCATTGTTTACATTTTCTATCAATTAGGATCAAATTGAATTAAATTAAAATTAGAATCAATTTGGTAGAATGTGTAAGAATGAGGAATAAATATATAATTATACAATTTTTTAACTACCACAGCATCACTTCCATGTTAATCGTTAACAGTTAATGTCTTGATTAATAGTACAATTTTAATTGTTGAGTGACCTAATTAAAAAAATAGTTCAATGGTCTAAATAAAACCTACTCCATAGTTTAGTGACTACTCAAATCATTTGCAGTAAAAAGTTAGGGTAAATTACACAAATCATCACTCAATTTTTTTACTCATATTTTGATCACTCAAGTTTAAATTTTTAATTTTAAAAATTAAACTTTATACATTTAACTTTTTCCGTCGCTCTTTATAAGTTTTTATTTAAAACTTTATCTAAAGTGTTTCTTTCTTTTGCTATGATGTAGTGCATCAAAGACTAAGTCAAGGCTGGTAATAAAAAATTAATTTATTAGGTAATGACGTACCCCGTTATAAAATAATGACAGAGTAATAAAAAAGAGTTAATGTATAAAGTTTATATTGAATTGATAATTTTTAAATTTGAATGACCTAAATAAGAGTGAAAAAAATGTTGAATTGTAATTTGTGTAGTTTACCCAAAGAATTGTTTCTGGAATTTTCTAGATTTCCTATTTACTTGTACTCCAAAATTTAAAAAAAAAAAGGAAAATACTAAAGAGAGAAAATTCATTAGTACTCCCAAAATATAAATATAAAAAAATTCCATTATTCATCTCAAACACAACAGCTAAAAATCCTCAGCTCTTTTTTTATTCATCTCATAATTCACTATAAAACCATACATATACTTACACCACTGCAAATCAAACCAGAAGCACCCTTTTCTTATTCAACCGTGTTTTTTTTGGGTTCCGTACAATGTCGGGTTCTGGTGGTGTTTCGACCGCTAGAAGCAGAGGCGGTGAGAATCGGTTTTATAATCCGCCGCCGATGAGGAAACAACAAAAGCAACAGATGCAGCAGCAACAGACGGCGAAGAAGATGCAGCGCCGGGAAGAAAGACCGTCGATTTCCAGGACTTCGACGGAGAAGAGAACGGATCGTGAGGAATGCGCTATGGCATCTGCGTCGTCATCGTCGTTGAACAATAGTGATAATAATGATAAGGATCAAAAAAGGAATGATGAAAATTCCACGAATTTGGATCGGTTCTTGGAGTTTACGACTCCTGTGGTTCCGGTTCAATATTTCCCCAAGGTAACAAAGAAAACCCTACTTTTATCAATCACGATTTGTTTTTTCTTCTATTTCTATTTCCGGTTCAATATCTTTGATTGATTACAAATGATAGTATTTTTCCTTTTGGAGGCTTGTCCTAACTTTGTAATTCGATGCAGTACTGCAATTACTTGATTTTAATTTCTTATTAAGCAAAACCCAACAAAAAATTGAACAAATTGTTTTATTCTAGTTGTTAGAAAACGTTGTAAGGTTGAATATTTTGTATAATAATAGAAACCCTGATAACTAGCAACTATTAATTATTAACAAATGCATTATAGAGAATTGTGTTTTCTCCCGAAATGATTTGTTTAATATGAAGTCATTGATTAATCTTGTATTGGTGAAATTTTACTTTGGTGATTCTATAGACAAGCAGCATTAGAGGATGGAGAGGTAAAGAACAAGAGCTCGGACTGCAGTCTCCGCCATATTTTATGCTCGAGGATTTGTGGGAGTCTTTGAAGGAATGGAGTGCATATGGCGCTGGTGTTCCTCTTTTGTTGAATGGGAGTGACTCTGTAATGCAATACTATGTGCCTTACTTGTCTGGTATGCAGCTGTATATAGATCCATCTAGACCCTCCACGAGGCTGAGGTAAGTCATTCACTCCATATCTATAATCTATGTAATCATCTGCTTTTGGCCAATAGCTTGGCTATCGTACAGTGCCTTTATTGAATGAGAATTTATGATAGCCCTCAAAAGTTTTTGGATCCTCATAGCTCATTTCGTTAATTGGCTGTAATCGGATTATTAGAGTAAGATTTATTGGCTTGGGAATCGATTCTCGAAACTTGCTTGATAGTCAATGTAATCTAGATTGTGTTTTATTATTCCCAAAGTTTTGCTGATTTGCTTTAAACTATCTGCTCTGCTTGGTCAATAATCTTAGTGAGATAAATAGAGGTTGAAGTGCAACACGATGAGTTCTCGTGAGCTGTAAATCGTTAGTAGTTATAATTCATCCTTGAAGTTCCATATTTATAACAAGCTTGTTGTGTTATTTCATTTTAGTGTCTCATTTTTCAACAGGAGGCTTGGTGAGGAGAGTGATGCTGAGTCATCAAGGGAGACAAGCAGTGATGGTAGCAACAGCGATTGTGGAATGGGAAGAAGAGCTAACAATGTTGTCCAGGGGGCTCGGAGCCAGCTGAAGGTTGCAGATTCATATATCGAGAGACTGACGAGACTGTCGCTTAGGAATAGATCCTTTGGGGGTTCTTCGGGTGATGAAAGTGATAGTTGTAACCCTCCTAATCAGCAGCTTATTTTTGAATATTTAGAACATGATCAACCATTTAGTCGTGAGCCATTGGCAGGCAAGGTAGTTCTGTTACCCTCTGTTACTTTATCATTTTTTGCTTGTTGTGCTCTTTCTAATTACCATGCTTCCTCCAGATTGCAGTTCTTGCATCTCAATTTCCATCATTAAAAACATACAGGAGCTGTGATCTCTCACCTTCAAGTTGGATTTCTGTGGCATGGTATATATTTTCTTTCTTTTTCGGAAGTTATCCAGCTTGTTTATTGCTATTTTGATTTTAAACCCAATTATATCTGACAATTTTTTCCTTAAATGAAGGTATCCCATATATAGAATACCGATGGGACCAACTCTGCAAAATCTGGATGCCTGCTTTTTAACCTATCACTCACTGTCTACACCTTCACCAGGTAAGCATCTTAGCAGCCCTTTATATGTGGTTGCATATTCGTATTGTTTCCGACATACACTTTGTACAATGCATTATTGATATATTTCGGAACAGGTACCAGCATCAGTATGGAAGGGTTCCCCTTCCGGGGCTTTAATGCAAGGGAGTTTCATGTTGCTAACATGCCCTTGAAGATACCATTACCTACATTTGGACTGGCTTTCTATAAGTTTGAAGTTTCATTTTGGAATCCTGATGAAGTTAATGAATCTCAGAAAGCTAATTCCCTTTTACGAGCTGCTGATAGCTGGCTCCGGCTTTTGCAAGTGAATCATCCTGATTTCAGGTTTTTCATTTCCCACAATACATACTGGAGGTGAGCAACTTGATACTTTACAACAGTTTTTCACTTAACTCGGAAGAGAATAGCCGTTCCCTAGCAGGTAACACTTCCAAACTGCCCCATTGATGGTTGTGCTTATGATGCTCTATCATGAATTGATTATGGTAAAAAAAAAAGTTAAGAGACTCTGATGCTCTATCGAATATGGTCAAAAAATTTGAGACTGATGCTCTATCGTACCTCAAATATGGTAAAAAAAAAGTAATGGCGATATGATACTTCGTTTCATCTAATGAGTTTCTAGTGATACTCATGGCTTTGAAGTGATAGATGTCAATGACTACACCTACAACATCTTAATAACTTAGGTTTGATTTTGATGATGTTGAAGAAGAAAATATGTGATATTTGTATATACATTTTGTCATTCTGAGTTCCAAAATGTGTAACAGACTACTTGTACTAACATTTTTATAGATAAGACATGAAATTTTAATATACACGATTGTATTCTTCAACCCTTCAACAGCCCCTTCCCACACACATTTACACTAGCCATGTTTGCAATATTTGTAATTATAATGAAACATTTTAAGTAAATACATACAATGTTTTCAAAATTAAATTGATAAATTGTTTAATAATATGATTTAGAAGACTTCTGAGTAAATAATTGCGCATGATAATTTAAAAATCGTTCAATTAAAAAATATTAAAAAAAACAAAGTTTCTGGTTTGTCTTAACTTCCTCTTAACGCCAAATTTGCTTATAACCAGACAAATATTACTCGGTTAAAAGTAGCTACTTGTGAGCCGGATGTCTTGGGTTGAAGCATTTTCTCTTTCTTTAGCAAACACAAGAAGCAACCATAGAACCGATTTTGGAGGGTAACTCGGTGTCCAAGAATATCAGCTCAATACCAGCAGCAGCCGGGAAATGCAAGAATTTACCGCCAACGCTCTGCACAGCCTAAACATGCTAATGTCATTTACTCCGCCACGATGGACGTGGTTATTCTTTTTTACGGTATATTTACTTAGATAATATGGTGGCTGGAAATAAAGAAAGGCCCATATGAGATTTAGGGCAATTTATTTTTAAAATTATGGTGAAATGAGCAGTATATCACTTGGTATTTTTTGAAAGACGTCAGGAATACACAACGTCTTCTGAGTTGATACGCTGCTAAGGATGATTACATGTATCTTAAGGAAGACATCGTGTCTTCCAAGCGTCTTTCCGAAGATGTTAAGTTGTCTGACCGTCTTTCTTCATCTACTGTTCATTTCAACTTGATTAAGAAAATAATTTCTCCAACATTCCATGCGAGCTAGTTTTTTAATATCACATTATTCCATCGAATTTGCCCTCCTTTTACTTAATGGTTGCTTGTTAGTTTGTACCAAAACTGAACTCTTGGTCATAGGGTTGCAAAGAAATCACAAATATGGTTTCAATTCAAAGTAAAAGGAAACCGCATAGCATCGCTAATTATTCACCGTCAATCCCAAAGCATCGAAGTTGAAAATCATTGCAAGGCAATATACTATCCCATAGTTATCCATTTCTCTAACGTTAATCTTCTGTTCCCTAAAATTGTAAAATTATCGCACTAATCCATTGTTTGTCACTCCATTAAGATAATGAGGCAGTTGATGAATCTAAAAAAATTGTTTTTTAAATAACAAGTTATTTTTTTAATTTATTATTTGAAAAATGTATAGTTTAAAAAATTGCACGCTTTATATATATTGTTTGTTTATAATTTTTATAAGTTTTAAAAAATTTTGGTTCTTATTATTTTTTTGAATTTTTAAAATATTTTATTTTTTCAATTGTATTTTTAAAATCAACTTTCTTTAAATGTCATGTCACGTGTTCTGATCATGTCATTTACATATCAAACAAACGATGAACATGATAATAACTTTTTACAACTTCAAGAGAGTATATTAATAGAAAAAAAACTTTAAGGTACAAAATGGAAAAAGGGAAAAACATTGGGGTAATTTGTGTGTTTACCCCAAAGTTAAAAATAACAAGGGTTCTGTTTTCGTGTTAGGTTCACCTTAATCCTAAATTTACAAACACCCAGATCTTGTAGCTCAGTTGGTTAGAGCACCCGTTTAGTAAGCGGGAGGTCTTCAGTTAGCAAATTTATGATGTTCTAGTTCACTTCCATATATATCCGAACTTGGGTACTGCACCAAACTGGTAGGTTTTACTTGGCAACCGCAAGCAGCAAAAGGAAAGTAGAGAACATTGGACGCTGCAAAGAAATCGTAATCATCATTCATACACATGATAAAATCAATACATTATCCCAAGCAACAAAAACAATGATGCTTCATCCCTTCTCTTTTGTTTCCACCAAGTTGATGACATCTGAAACCTTGAATGATTTTTCGAGGATATCAGCAACTGTAACCTTCATCTCAACTGTCATCCTCTCAAATATAGCCGTCAATAAGTTCACATCCGACATGGCTCTATGTGCTGTTGCATTTGTTGTGTCGATGCCAGTGTTTACTCAATGCCTGCAGTGAGTATTGTCTCGATCCGTTCAACTTCATCCACTCTCGTCCTAGAGGACCGTTGTCGAAGAACCAATAATTATATGGAATATCCATTGAACAACGAGTGAATTCCTTCATTAAGGGTACGTCAAAACAGCGCGCATTGTGAGCAATCAAAAGACAAGGGCTCCCGGGAATCCGTTGACTTCTTCGTTCATCCTAGTCAATACAGCAACAGTCATCCAATATAAAGACGAATCAATGAACTAAAACTTCAAGTAGTTGCAGATTGGTAAGAAGAAGAATGTACCTTGGGACACCTGGTCGATTCACCATGGCAGTTGAAATATCATGAATGTGAGAATTCGGAACATGTCGGTCAGGATTAATTAGGGTGTGCAGGCAATTGTTCTTGCCCCCCAAAAGATCTCGGATTGCGAATTCGATAATCCGTCCAGTCTCTCTGCAGAATCCAGTGGTTTCAATATCGAAAACAAATATACTCACAAGTTGCTTCGGGTCTTGGCTCTCTAAAATCCGGTGTTTAGCATCACAAAACTGGGTGCTTGTAAGGCAACTTGAAATAGAAGAAACAATATTACAGCTTGCCTGCACTTGTCCATCCATGAATTCGTGCCTAACATTACTTGCTTCACTTCTCTTATCGTCTCTAGTTCTTAGCCCACTTATTGTTGATTTAGGTCTCGAAACCTGATGCCTATGTACTCTCCCTTGTCGAAAAGGATCAACATTATTCGATCCGTGCACACAACTCCATGAGAACGTCGTAGCTTGTGAAAATTGTGTGACAAACAGCTTACACATACCGATTGAAAGCGTGGCAACGACTGGACTCCGCAACTACGAAATTGCATAAGGGAAATGCAGATACCACCGGTCATCGTCCGGGCTCGACCGACTGTGGAAACAAGGAAACAGCTTGGGGTGATAAATAGGGAATTCTTGTAGCTTGCCATTTCCACTAGTTTCACTTCCAGATGTTCATCAAAATTCAATAATGATTACACAATGCCCCAGATTTATCAAACAATTATGGTTCCCACTAAGAAATGAAACTTTATTGCACAGAAAATAACAACCAAAAGCAAAGCTGAATACTAATACCAACAAAGTAATGCATTTGCAACTAAAACACCCAAATAGACCATGAATACAATATGCTTACGACCAACAATCATTAAAACCCAGAAAACTTATAAGATAAAATCACAACATTAACAGAAAAAGAACCCAAATCAAGAATCAGGGTTTTGGTCAGATACAATCCAAGAAGCAGAGAATAACAAAAAGGTGACGAGAAAAACATTACCTTTTAAGGGGTTCAGAAGCTGGGAACCACAATGGACAATCAAACTTCCATTTTGAAGTGAAAAGATGGTTTTTTTTTATGGAAGACAAAGCCATTGTGAGTGGCAGACAAAAAAGAAGAGCGGGTTTTGCAAGTTCGAGTCCCCAAAATGTAAGTCGTGCGCGCTTTTTCAATTTCCAGTTCGTTTACAACCCAAACTTGTTAGACTCCATTTGGATGAATGGCGACATTAAGAGCATCTCCAACGCTGCAATAATGTGGCTCATATCTCCACTTTGGAGTGGTCCAACGCTGAGTTGAGGTGATGAAGTTTATTATCACAGTGTCGAGGTTGAATATTATAGTAATTAGATCACCTTTAGTAAATGCAACTATACTAGTAAGGTTTGATTTTTATTATGAGATGTAATAGAGTGATTGTCTCGAAAATATGTAATCAGAAATTTGATTTTATTATAGAAATATTTTCATGATCAATTGTTTATCTGTTAACAAAACACTCGATGACAGATGTAAAATATAGAAAATTGCACAACTAGCTCTGAAATTGAATAGGTGTACGGGGGAGGTAGAGATATCCATGTAGAGGTGGCAAACCGATCATTTGGATCGAGTTTGATTAGGATTATTTCAGTTCGGGTCGTTTTGGTTTAGATTTAATTCGAGTCAAGTTTAGGTCGGATCAGGTCATTTTAGGTTTCGGTTTTAGTCGGGTCTATAGTAAGTCGCGTCGGGTCCGGGTCGGGTCGAGTCATTTTGGGTTTCGATTTTATTCGGGTCTATAATAAGTCAGGTCAGATCGGGTATTAGGTTGTGTCATATCGGATCGGTTGATTTCGGGTCGGGTCAATCAGATCGGTTGATTTTAGAGTCAGGTTAATATCCGATCAAATATTTTCGGTTTGAGTCAACTTTGGATCTTCATATCAATTCATGTTAAGTTGGGTATAAGTCAAATTAAGTATATATAGAATTATTGATATATTTTTGTAAAAAAGATTGAGTTTGGGCAAATTAAATTTGGGTTAATTTTGGTTTAGGTTATTTTTGGTTCAGTTGCTTTCGGTTCGGGTTACTTTCGGTTTAGTTAAATTTAGGTTGGTTTCGGTTCTGTCTGGGTTACTTTCGCTTTGGCTTAAATTCGGGTCAGTTTCGGTTAGATTCGGTTTTTTCGGGTTTCGGGTTAAATTTGGGTCATCATATTCTGGTCTATTTTGGGTATCGATTCAGGTAATCGGATTCGGGTCAAATTTGACAGGTCTAGATCAGGTCAAACATAAAACCTTATGTTAGGGGGAAAATATTATAAATAAAAAATATAAAAAAATTAGAAGAATAATTATGAGTGTCACCCCTTGATCTATCATTGAATCCTAGTGCGAGGGCATGCAATTAGAAAATTGGGTCATCATATTCTGGTCTATTTTGGGTACGATTCAGGTAATCGGATTCGGGTCAAATTTGACAGGTCTAGATCAGGTCAAACATAAAACCTTATGTTAGGGGAAAATATTATAAATAAAAAATATAAAAAAATTAGAAGAATAATTGAGGTCACCCTTGATCTATCTTGGAATCCTAGTGCGAGGGGCATGCAATTAGACATGGCAAATTTGACCAATACTTGATTATCCGAACCGATTTACTTGA